TCGCGTCGTTGATACTCTGAGCAGATCGGCAAAAACGATTGCGTGCCCCGGCGACCTTATGAAGCTGCACCTTATTCTGGTTCAGGAAACCTATGGAATCAAGATTATGCCAACCTTTAGGTACGGCATTTCTTGCATCTCGAGCGAACAGTCCGTTCCCGCCCTCCGTAACCTCGATGAGTGCGGAGCTCTCTTATAGAAAGCAGTTTCAGGAATGAGGTATGAGCCGCCAAATGTAAAATAGGAACCTTTGTTTTTCATTTGCCCGAAGAGGAAACCCTGTGCGGATGCCTCGAGGACCTGGGATCAGCCCTCAGCACTGACGCATGGCACGTTCACGAGAGAAAACGCGGAGAGAGGAGAGATAGTCACCTTGAGCAGGCCTACCAAGACGGACCGGTGCGGCGTTCATTTGCGACCGATGGAAATCGTCGATTCCGCGATATCCGATTCCTCATGGAAAAGCTTGCGCAAGCGCAACACCGGGCAGATTCGAGTCAGAAACCATCTTCGGGAAACTGAGACTTCTCCGCTCCACCTCTGCGTAAAGTTAGATTGACAAACAGCCGACCGCATCGTGCAGCATGAACAAGGGAATCTCGCGTCACTCTTCCTCGCAGTGCTGTCTGTCAGAATAGATGCTCGAGGAGTCAATGCTCCGGATGAGCTGTAGGGCGCTGAGAGCTCATTATTTAAGCGAAACTCTCCCCAGTTCAGCATTCTTGGCCCCAGCACTAACTTGGGATTAAGTCGAAAGCCGCGAAAAAGGTTTAGAAAAAGAGTGAATTCCTCAGAGCTGCGCTGCTTGCCGCCGACGAGGACTCCGGCGCCTCCGGAAGGCGGCGCGAAAATTCAGGGTCCATTATTCAGCCCGCCTCCCGCCGCCACGCTCTGGCGGAGTGGAGTCGAAGGCGAAAAGATATTTGTCCCCGATCTAGGGCCTGCGTAAAGAACTCGATTCGGCACCACAAGCACGCAAAGTCGACACTCATGCTTTCAAAGTGGATCGATTTCAACCGATCCCCACTCTCCACTATACCCCGAACAGTTTTCCGTATTTGTGTGATCTAGGATTCGTACAGATGAGGTTCGCACCCCGCGCTCCCTGGAAGCCGAAAGGAGGAACGGAACGAGAAAAAGCCCAAAAAAGAACATCTCCTCTGTAATTGAAGTATCGGCTCCGGATTAAACAGTGTCTACGTACGTGCCAAGAATACCAACGAAGTCCGCAGGCCCAGAAACTTAGAAAAAGGAGTAACGAGGCTGCCGATCGCAGACTCCCTCGCCGACCCCTAGAATCCGGCTGGTCCGCTATCGCGAACGCAACCGATTCGCCTGGGGTTCCGTTCTATGGACCATTCATTGCTCGAACTCTTGCCATTGCAGCAGAAGGAGCAACAACCGGAAGGTCTGAATTTGCCCCGGCTGTCAGATGACGACCTCTTCCGTGCGACCTGATTCAATCTTTCTTTGACATCGTCGGAAATCTCACCAGAAGTGCAAAGTGACGCAAGAATACAGTGGCTCACGGAGGATCCGATGGTAAGCAAAAGTTCCCTCCACCCATGGAAAGTGAATGATTCCGATGGCGGGGAATTTCCGTTGCTGTTGAAACAGACCCGAATTCATGTGGACAAACAAATTGAGCGAGAGCTCACGCGGAGAAATACTCTGCCCTGGCTCGATTCAAGTTCGCGGAGCGGATCTCGGCTGATTCCGCAATTCCTCACGCAAAGGCAATCCAACGATCGTGGCGAAAAAGCCAGCAGCTACCAATCTGACTCGTAGTCTACCGTCATTGCTCGCAGACACGGCACCGTCGCTCGAGGTTCTTTTCTCCACGTGGGTTCCTCCGTTCTTGCATCGAAACCGCCATTTCCTGTCCGAAAGTAGAAGCCCCGTCGATAAGAACGCTGAAAAATAAAACAAATTGTGAAAGTAGAATACCCATCCTCCGGACCCGATCTACAGCGCACCCAGTCTAGAAATATCCGTCAGGAAGAGTGAGCTCGATAAGATTGGGCTACGAAGGGTCGATAGGGAAGCTTCCCCATTCCGAAAGAAGGGGGGAAAAAACGCCTTGCGAAGCCGAGCATTCGAGCTCTTTCAATCGTCAGCGGCGGTTTATTTTCCGCACGTAATCCGAATAGTGTGCTTTAGCGGGTTCCCGCAGAAACGACAATAAAACCTGGCCGGAGAGCGGCTCCGATCGAATGAACGATTTGACGAATGTTCTGGCTTGTTAGAATTGTCGACGTCGTCTCCGCCGCCCGACTATTGATCGAAGGATGGCAGAGGCGCCTCAAAGCAGCCATTGATATTGACAACAACGGAGCGCGAATGAGAGACTCCATAACCGGAAACTTATTGTCCGCCGACGAGCAGCTTTCTACGCCTATTTCCTGTGTATAGCTTATATGAACAGACTCTCCATACACAGACATCTACGCACGCCCACCTGCGAGGCTTCCATAGCTGACGAACGTTTTGGGCACCGCAGCCGTCGAAGTTATTTGGATAGCAGGCAGCAGGTGTGCGCTAGCGCGCAGGAAACTCTTTTTCGGGGTCTAAAACTCCTCTTTGATCCGCTCTGGTCTTGTGTTCCGCGGGCAAATTTACTTATGGAAATGACCAACCCAGACTTCATTGCCGTCATGAATTGGAACCGCGTATTCACAGGAGATGAAGGCTCATAATCCTTTCCGGCTCCTCCGGGGACCTCCCGCTGAATTGCTTACAGTAGACCCTCGTTACTCGGCACAACGAGAAGCTCAATGTGACGAATTCTTTCCGCCGGTCTCTTTGTCCAAGGTTCCGTCAAGGCGGAGCTGAATGCCTCTCAACGGAGTTTCATCATAGCGACCAGGATTCGCGTTCCCCGGTGGGGTCCCAGCAGAGAGATTCTTCTCATGTAGCAAAAAAAAGTGAGGCACGAGCAGCTATCCACAGAGAACGCCAAGCTTGCCCACCACTAGGTACGACGAAACTTCAGGCTTCTCCAGAATACAGCGAAATCTGTTTGACTCTCTGAAACTCGGCGTTCCAGCAAGTGAACCGATAACTCAGGTGGACCCATTTCGCGACCAGAGAATTTTTCAAGCCGAAAATGTATCGCCCAAATCTTTCTGTCGTATCCAGGAAGCTCCGGAGGGAAAACCACTGCAGTGATTCATGACGACGATTGATGCTCATTTCTTCATGGTCGGCGATATCATCATCGTTCACGACATCCGAGTCTGCGCTGACGCATTCAGTCGCTACGATACAATTCAGGTTACATCCCACACGCTTGAACAGAGAATTGTTCGCAACCGCAGACGCGCTCACTGAGAAAGGGGGGTATCCCAGGGTTTCACCGAGTGGAGACCGCGATCTCCACTGGGTCACCGTCGACCGTCCCCCCTCACCTTTCGTCATCATCTGATACGCATTCAACGCGCTGAGGTCCGTCGCAGGATCGAAGTTGTCAGCGAACTTAACCGGTCCGCGTATGTAGATGAGCAACCGATGGGCGAAGGAGACTGCTCATGCAATTTGACAGCAATCCCGGGCTTCTGCGACTTTTCGAGAACCCCGCGGTTTGACTTTCTGTGCCAGGATTGTTTTCTTCAAATATGAGTGAGGGCCGACCGGTCGCGGTTCCTTGAAAAAGTGGACAGTGAACACGTTCCTCAGGTGGACCGTATACACGTTCGAATTAACCCAGTCTCAACGGCAGAGAAAATCGGTGCCTGACAAGAGGGAACCGATAGATCATGTAGGAGTGGCTCCCGAGTCCGGTTTCACTGTGCTCTCATGGACTCTCTATTCTTGAGCTCGCTCGATGAATTATCGAGTGATGTTCCCTGAGCGTCTAAGCATAGATTTCTATAATAGCTCGTAGGGCTGCGTCGCTCCTCAAATCACGAATTCATCGCTGTTCCGTCATGCGTCATGTCCTTTCCTCGTGAACCGATCTACATGTGATAGTTCGATCGATCGAGGGGATCATTCTTCCCAAACACCGACGAAAAAGAGATCGTCCCGACCTTATCCCGCGCGTCGACACGTGGAGGTAATTTTAGACTCCCGGAAGACAAGACTGATTTTGGACTCGATGGTTGTGGTTTGTGGTTAGTGGGACGACCCCGGCGCGCGATCAGCGACGTCAGCAATATTCGACAACGAAGCTCTAAGTGTACCTATACCCGGGATATCAGATTGCACCCATCTGATTCCGACGCACCGTTGGATTCCACGCAGTGAGTTATATCGAAAAGTTGGCGATCGAGGCATCGACTTGATGAAAGGTAAGTGCTATTCTCTCTCCAACAATTGAACGACGATCCGCGAATGTAGTCAATTAGCTGCGCAGACTTGCCAGAGACATACATACTCGAAGTTAGCGAGCATCGCCTCCCTCGGTCCGAGCTAATCGAACAGCAGAACAAACAGAAGAGCCTGGAAAAGGGAATGCGAGCATAGGTAGCTCCGGCGACCGAGCAGTCGAGGCCGTAGTGCCTGCAGTCAGGCCAGTCGCGCATGTTTGCCCTAGCCGTGAAAGTGTGATCGGTGAGGACGCATGCGCTGTGAGACGTTCGTTCTGCCACGGGGACCATTCGGTCGGTCCTTCCGCCATACGGAACTCTCGTTTTCGCTGATCAATCGCTTCTGTGGTGTTGCGCTATTGCGAATTCGACATTTTCGCGTCTGGGAATCGAATGTAAGTCGCCGAGAGATCAGCAGCGACAGTACGGCCCAGTTTCCTTCGAGATCCGCGATCACGGTGTTCATTGCCACAAGTCCATTCCTCTCTCTAGAGTAGCGTCCCGTCAGCAGGTTCTGCGCGTGAAGCGACTGCCGAAATGATGGTGTCAAGCGGTTTAGGGACCCGACGGGCTCGGAGGCTGGTTCCTCTCCGAAAAATAATCTGGTATCAACAATGGGAAGTCTGTTCCATTTCAGAGCCCCGGAGAGCTCTCGAGTAGCACGGCCGGTCGATCCAAAGGCAGCTAGTCATCCAGCCGAGTGTTTGCGGCGATCAAGGCAGCGGTAACGCGCGCAACATATCGGACATCCTATCACATAAGTAAACAGTCAATAAAGCGACTTGCTATCGCGTTGAAAGAATCTTCCTTCACTTTGTATGTCCAACCCTTCTTCGTCTAGGCTCACTCGAGACAATTCGAGAAAAATGGCTGTCGCTTTCCAAGAGGATTTCGAAGTCATTCAAAATCTGGCCGACGAGACGATTTTCAAAACGAGCGCAGAAGAGCGCCGCGAGTTAGAAGCGAAAAGCTCCGCCACCGGTACCGACGACCACGACGACGACGATGACGACAACGAGCTAACTGACAATGATCGAGAGTCGAGGAAGCCGCGGCTCAAGTCCCCGCTCGAATGCGGCTTCGCGCAAACGACAAGCAAGCCGTCGCTGTTCTTCAAAATGCTCACAGACCAAGATGTCGAAGATAGAAAAAGAGTCCGTCAGGAGAAACTCCATAGGGCCGCTAAGGAAATCGCGCAGCTCGAGGCTCGGAGATGCGCCGAAGAAAAGCATCGCCTCAAAAGACGGGAGCTTGAACAGAAAGAGCGTCGACTGCGGGCTTTAATAATGGATGAGCTCCGTTCTCTCTGGAAAAAAGGCCACGACTTTCAAATCCCAGAGCAGGTCGATCCGTACATCCGAGGCGAATGCGGAAGCGACCCTGAAGAAAACGACATTCGCAGACGGCTTTTTCATGGATGTTTTTACGAGTTTCGCAACCGCCTACAGTCGAGCAGGGAAAGTCTCAAGCGTGAACGACGAACCACGCTAGAGACCGTTACGTGGACGGCTCAGGAAGTCAAACTGTACTACGAGTGTATGGCACGACACCGGATTCCGATCGTCTTCGGCTCGACCGCCGCGTTCGGAGACGCGCAATGTAATCCACGGAGTTTCGCCACGGCTGCTCATCGACGGAACTTTCCATGCGGAGCAAGTTCGACGGGAGACTTCATAGGAACCTATGGTGCAGGCTACAAACACCCGGCCAGGTGCTATCCCTCGCCAGGGGCAGGGCACCGTTTTCCTCCGCGTTTCGGAATGTACGGATGGTCGGACTCCGCTCACCCTATAATTCCGGTGCAACGGACGGGAGCGTTCGAGCATAATTCCACGGCCTCAAACAAGCACTCGGTCGCATGTCCGACCGGCCATCGTGGTTACGATCGTGATGACAACAGTGGGAGCAGCAGCAACAATGAGCGGCAAGCAGAGAGCGAGAAGCAAGCCATCCTAGTGAAGAGATCGCCTGTGGAGACTGAAGCAGCCGCTTCCGATTTCGTGAACGAGCTCCTCAAAGAAAACTGCGCCTCCGAAAATTCGTCCATCAAGTTGGATAGCATCGCGGAGATCGATCTTTACGACGATTTATGATCTTGAGTCAATCGAAGCGCGGGAATCTCGCACCAAATCGAAGCTCACATCTTTCGAAATATCCTAATCGTGCAATCTTGTCTATAGTATCTACTCGGAAAAGCTCAACTCTACCTCCGGGTAATTCATGTTTTTTTCGCCGGTTGGGCGCGCCCGGATGGAATTTTGTGGATTTTTTCATATAGTTTAAATGTTCGAATAAAATCAGAGCGCACTCGAGGAATCTAATAAAATATCTCCGAGGCGAGATAGATTCTCTAACGTGAGTCTTCGTTGTAATCCGTCAAATAGGAGAAGGTGAGCCAGATACTACCGGGGATGTCAAGGTTCTTGCTCTCAGTGCAGATTTGAGTGCGAGACAGCTCGAACAGTATCGGAAGCTGGCTGAACGAGGAGACACATTCCGATGAGAACTATTCGCAATGCAGTTCAGTCATGTTAAAATTCATGACGACGGACAAATGCTGATGTATTAGGTTGGTAGAAAATTCCATTAAACCTCTCACTTTCTCACTCATGCCCCGACTACCGATGTTGAGGCCGCCGCTCCTACTGTCTCCGTCGCCAACACCACTGGTCTCTATGATGGGTAGATGAATTCGCTTGAGGGAGGCTCGGAGCGTGATGATATAAGTGATGTATTGTGTCAGCCGAAAGCCCTCCATACAAAGTAAGTATTCTGCGGCGCTCATGTAGCACAGCTTCATCATGCCCTAGATCTCGATCGCAGGGGAGTCTCGACGTGCCGCGACATCATTGGTGTCTGATAGATGGGACGGTCGTAAGTCGGGTGAGCCGAGTGATTCTCGAACCGGTGCCTCCGATGCTGAGCGCAAGCTCCGATCCGGCGCCGCGCCGGCGGTTCGGCGCGATGATATCCAGGATTGCCAATCGACCGCTCCAGCAGAACGGAATCGAGTGAAGCTCTAGAGAAATAAAGTTTGTGCGCTCGCTCTGAATCGAACAGCGGACGGAACTAGACTCTCAGAGCTCAGCCTTCGGTAGCTCTACCGGGGCCCAAAGAAATTGTTTGATTGTGAGTGAATTCGTGGCAGAGAGGACGATTGGAGACCGGAGAGAGAGAAAGTAAGCCAGATTTATTCATGATGTAGGCGTGTGCTTCGAATTGCATAGCCCCTCGATGAGTTGACCTGTCGCAAGACGGAATGGTATTCCAGCCTTTTATCCTCCTCTCCACTCTTATATTTATGGCCCCAACTTCATTCGTTTGCTCTGTCGAGTTCTTTTTGGTCAGGGCTTTCGACTATTCATGTTGGCTCCACCCAAGCGGGGAGTGAATCTCCAGTTCTTGCCCGATTTCGAAACTTTTCTCTCACACGATCCGCCCTCCGAGGCACGTTCCTTCGTACGTCGATTTCGAATCAATGCTAAATCTGACATGGTTATTGCAATCATTGACATGGGGCTGATTAGGGTCTCCTCTCCAGATTGATACAGGTCCTGGAATGCAGCATCGCCCCTAGAAGCTCAAAGACAGCAAACCGCTCGTTCGAGAAATGGATTCTAAACATGAGCGTGGTCATCATGAAGGGATCACGACTGCTATCGGCTCTCTTTTGTGTTCTGATAACATTGTTCCTCGTCTGATTAATGATTCGCGAGTATACAAGACTGGATGCGAACGAGCATTCCACGAACAATCGAGTGAGGCCTGCCGGTGTAATGTTCGGCAAGCGCTCGCTGGGGAGCTTGTCGGCTGTTTTTTCCGCCTAGTCACCCTGTAGTAGGGCACGAGACAGATCTCTTCCAAAGAACCCGTGGAGATCACTAAATCGCTCGCGTATTGACTGTGCCTCACAGCAAATACAGGACTCGCAGTCCCCGAGCGGCCCTTCGCTAACGTGTAGACTCACTCAGACCACTGGGCAGTGACCAGGGCGGACGGGGTAGCTTGGTCTTTTGATCATCAAGCTACGATGGCATTGTGTTACGAACTCGGTGACTGACTCGCACACTACTGGCTCATTGGCTCGCTGACTCAATTCTCCGACCTAGCGCCGGACGGACGGACAAGCTACCGAATCGAAAAGTAGGGAGGTAGGTACGGCCGCGGTGCGTCCGAATCCAGGCCGGAGTCGATGGAGCTGCTCGGACTCACAGTGAGAGGAGCAGAGATTCTCTGCGACAATGACACGAGCGGAATCGTAGGGATGGAAGAGGGATGAGAGGAAAAGTGGGTCCGGGAGAGACAGAGGGACCCGCAGCCATCGATCGCCTGGGGGTCAGAGTCAGTCAGTCAGCATGACGACTATGCCTGGGAAGGGGACGGAAAAGACGTTGAAAGCAAGCAATCCGCTGCCAAGCCTGACGAAAGCTCTCTCTCGTTCGCGCTGCCAGCTGAAGACCTCTTCCGTTACTCGCAACCAGTGAAGGCGGCAACGGTTCTGGCAACGACCGACGACGACGGTGGTGTGGTGGTGGTGGTGGCGGCGGCGGCGGCGGCAACGGAGGAGCAATATAATAAGGCCCCTACTCCAGTGTTGTTTGGCCTCTGGAGTGGTCCTGAGAGCATAATATTAAGCTAGCTGTTTACATTAGCACTTTTCGTTTCGTCCTCCCCGCCAGCAAGCCGGTCTGGTGGGAAGGAGGGTGGACCGGGTGGGAGGGTGTGCGGTAGGTTTGTCGTCACCACCCTCGGCCATTCAAACCCCGTCGGGCGGACTGACCAGCCGTTCTGCCTGAACGTCTGACTTCTGCGTGGAGCTCGTGCTCTCACGGCGTGCATTCGAACGTTGTTTCAGAGGGGGCTCGTTTGCTCGTTCCTCTCTTCTCTCCTCTGCTTCGGCTGCTCCCTCCCTCTTCCCTCTATTTTTCCCTCTCGGCCTGCATTCGTGCCACACACTATTTGCACTGTGGATTTATACACAACGCCAGGCAAAGCCGTTCTCTCATAAAACCCCCCTGCAGACCACCTTGAAAATGTACCAGAAGGCACACAGACATCTCCCTCCGCGCTTCTTACCGACGAACACGCACACATCTGACAGCCAACTCAAGCCCACAACAAAAGCGTTCGAGAGAGTGAGCGGGGGAGCGAGCGAGCAAGCAAGCAAGTTCGAGGGGAGCCACCGAGCGACGAAAGAGTGTACGTACACGATGTCTTTTTCTCGGCACGATTTGTTATTCCCATCGGAATATAGACGCGTCTCGATGCCCGGCACCGAAGATGCGATGGAACGAGAGACGCAAAATCGAGGAACAAGTTGTGCGCTGCCGTACAGAATTGAGCAACATTGACGCTCGAGTCGGCCGCGTCCCCAAGCTCATCTGCCTCGTTCGTGATTGTTTCAGAATTTACAATCCGCAGGCTCCGATTCCGAGCGACTCCTATCGGTCGTCGTTCCGATTCGGATGAGCAGGTTTTTCGAATCAGCCCGAATTCCATAGGCTCGGCGTGTTCGTTAGCTTAATAGACGCTAGAGATTCTACGTTCGCGCTAGCGGATTGGGGGAGGTTTTTCGCTGTGTGATTTTTTTCCAATTTCGATAGCTTCGATGATAAGTTTGGTCGGCTTCGCGCCAGACCGAAGCGGTGGTTTCCGGCCGCTCTCGGCGGAACTGCTGTTTTATTCACGCCGGTCTACAATTAGCGGGGATTCTCGACAGGGACCGGCGGAAAACCTGACCGGCGAACACGATTTTTGGGCTGCACTTTTTTATTCGCGTCAACTTGACGTGGGAGCCCCCCTGTAGAGAAGGAGGAACAAACGTCCCATGACATCTCAGGCGCTACGCAGGGGGGATTCTCCCGAGCGAAAATTCTGTTTCTGAAATCAAAATATCGACTTCCGATTCCGCTATACATTGCAACGGTATATCAAGCAGGTCGCTGGATACGGCTTGCTCAGCCGATATTCCTCATCCAATGTCTAAAATATCTTGATTGACTTTCACGGTGGAGCGCGCCGAGCCGTCGGCAACGTCGGTGCTGCTGCAGCTTCCGCCGGCTCGCAAGTCACCGTGCTTGCATCGGCAGAAAATTTTCAATGCATCAAAATCGAATGTTTCGGAACATTACCAGACGCGGTTCCCCAGACGCGAGGAACAGCCGGATATCCGCCGTGAAACTACATCGCTCGGAAGAAGCGAAACGAAGCTCGCAAAACAGCGGAATCCAACTTTCAGTCGTATTCTCGGGATATGTATTCATTTAAGAAGCCTTCCATCCCTCCGAGAAAATCCGTTTCGTTTGCTTCTGGGTTGGAAATTTAATATCGTCAGCCCAAATTTAAGGCTGACTAACAAGGGTCTGGAACCTCGCGGTCGGGATGTGTAACTCTTATTGTCTTGTCTATATATGTATGGTTCAAACTAAACTGCTCTCGAAGTCGGGGGAGGTGGGTCGGTCGGTCTGCGCGGCTTCACCTAGGATCCTTCGGATCCGTTGTTCAAAGTCGATCCGTTCCGATGGGCAGGCTGGGAACGCCGGCGCGGTGCGGTGCCGTGCCAGCTCGAGTGGTGAAATTCAGCTCAGAATCCTCACGTAGATGCTACACTGGTTTCTACCACTCTCACTTTAGAAACTCCTTTCATCCTGGCGGCTTCCCGTCTGATCCCCCGGCTGTATATATCCACCATAGGAAACTCTTTAATCTTGTTAGAGAGTTCCGTACTGATGACGTCAACAAAAACAGACATTCGAAGAGCCACGCTTCTCCTTCGGCTGAGGAACATCGCCTAGCGCTGACGGACGCGGCACCTTGTTTTTTATTCCGGTTACCCCGATCCTCCTCATTCATCGATCCGCGGTCCGTTTTATCATCTCCGATCACTGCGTGGTTTTTACATGCACATGCTCATTTCCTGAGGTCGGCCAGCCAGGCAGAATATTGATTCTTCTGTCGGCACGAGAGCATGAAAGTCGTCGAAGCGACGTGGGGCTTTTAGACGTCAGGGCTTCCTGATGAATAACTTGTGAGTAGCTGCGGCGATGATTAAAACTAACGCATACGAACATTTGAGCGGACGTCGTTGGACGTT